GAGTCCCCATCCCTGGAGGGATTGAAGAGTCGTGTAGACACAGTGCTGAGGGACATGGGTTAGTCATAGGGGACTGGTCAGTGTTGGGTTCATGGTTGAACTCCATGATCTTAAAGGGCTTTTCCAGGCCATTCTGTGACTCTGTGACTTGCTGTTCTGCTCCCCAAAGTGTTTCTGGTTTGGTTTTTTTGGGGGTGGAGGTTGTCTCCTTTGCACCAGCCGATGCCCATCATTGGCCTCAGGGCTGGAGGATGTCTGGGGTGACCTGCCCCAGTTTGGCAGCACATCGTGGGTCCAGCGCTGTGTGGTCTTTCAGGGTTTGGGCATGCTGATGCTGATGTGCTTCACATGTGCTGTGGTGCTGCATGTCCTCAGGCACATCCCATCTGCCCGGGTGTGCGTGGGGGTGGCAGGTCCCTGCGTTGGGTCCTGATGAGGCTCCTCAGTGGTGACTGCAGCTGCTGTGGGGTTGGTTGGGTGACATCAGGCAGGTGGCAGGGACACGGTGCAGGTCGCTGGTGTGCGGGATGTGATGTGCTGGGATGGGGTGACTGGTGTGGTCGTGGGGGCTGGTCTTAGAGCAGGGACCTCCAGCCCTTCTCAGCATGGAGCCCCACCACAGCGTCTGCTTGGCATGCAGGTCCCCTTAGAAATGTCCTGTAGGTGGATTGCGCTGTGCAGGTTGTGGGTTTGCTCCTCTGTGGTCCCTTTCATGGATGACTTAAGGTCTCAGCTCCACTTTCAAGGGCAGGTACCCTGCATGGCATGAGAGCTCCAGGCGTGTGAGAGCTCCAGCTGTGCAGTGGTTGTCGTGTGCATGTGCAGGCAGGGAGGCAGGAAGAACCCTCCAGTCTCTGGTACTCCTCATGAGGACCACACTGGATGTCCTTCTAGTGACCTCCAAGTACCTGAAGGGGCTCCAGGAAGGGTGGGGAGGGACTTTGGCCAAGGGCAAGGGAGTGACAGGACAAGGGGTGATGGCTTGAAACTGGAAGAGGGCACATGGAGATGAGAAGTGAGGAAGAAATTCTTTGGTGTGAGGGTGGTGAGACAGTGTCCCAGGTTGGCCAGAGAGGCTGTGGCTGCTCCTCCCTGGAAGTGTTCTCGGCCAGGCTGGATGAGGCTTTGAGCAACCTGGTCTAGTGGAAGGTGTCCCTGCTGCTGGCAGGGGGGTTGGAACTGGATGAGCTTTAAGATCCCTTCCAACCCAAACCAGTCTGGGATTCCATGATGTCCCTGTCCCCAAGCCAGCTCCTGGGGTCGTGCAGAGAGCGGAGGAGGCGAGGTGGCTCCTGGAGCCCATGTCTCCCCCTCCCCAGCTCTGACACCCGTCTCCTTCCTCTCTTTGCAGGGGAGATCTTTTTGGAGACCGCCCCAGACAAATTCACGCTGGAGGAGGCTGTGACGCGCTGTCGGGCGCTGGGCGCGGAGCTGGCGAGCACAGGGCAGCTCTACGCGGCGTGGAGCACGGGGCTGGACGCCTGCAGCCCTGGCTGGTTGGCCGACGGCAGCGTCCGCTAACCCATCATCACCCCTCGGGAACGCTGCGGTGGGACCTTGCCGGGTGTCAAAACCATCTTCCTCTTCCGAAACCAGACGGGATTCCCTGATGCCCAGAGCAGATACGATGCGTATTGCTTCCGAGGTAAAGAGGAGCAACCCCTCGGCACGCGGGTGCTCCTGGGCAGGGACGGATGTGAGGATTTGGGAACCCTCTGGGCAAGGACATGGGTGCCCGGTGGGTGCAGGGTGCCAGCTCCAGCCCACCCACGCTTGGTGCAGCAGAGCTGGGATCTCCCGCAAGGTCATCGCTGCGATATCGCGATAGAGCAGGGGTGTTTTGTACCGTCTCAATCGTGCACATCAACCTAGCGGGGTAGGATAGTGTGGTCTTTGTATTGCAGACCAATATATCGCGATAGGGGAGAGATAACCTGCATGGGCCCCACACTGCATGGTGGGAGATCATGATAGAGGAGGGATGCTCTGCATGGTCTCAATAGTGCATGCTGGTATCGTGATAGGGTAGGGGTGTCCTGCACCTCCTCAGTGCTGCGTGCTGATATATCGTGACAGGGTAGGGATGCTCTGCATCTCCTCAGTACTGTGTGCTGCTATATCGTGACAGAACAGTGATGTCCTGCATGGTATCATCAGTCTGTGTGAGCTGCGTGGACATGGTGTTGCCAGGTCCCTGCGAGGCTGGTTTTGGGCGATATCTCACAACAGTGAAAAGGAAATGAGATCCACGGGTGATAAACCAGGAGGGGAGGAGCAGGGATGGAGGCAGGCAGGGAGAACAAGCACGGAGGGAGGAAGAGTCACCCACATCTCTGTGCATCCCGGGGCCATGGGAGCTTGGAGGACAGGGACGCTTTCCCCAGGATCCAATGGATGCCGTGCGTCTCTGTGCCTCAGTTTCCCCATGTCACAGTAGGGAAACCCATGGGTTAGGCAGGATGGACCTGTCCCGTGAATCCGTGACCCCCTATAACCTACTAACAGCCCCCGCCTGTCTGCGCTCCCTGGGGTGGGGGGTCTGGTGTGCAGCAGGGTCACAGGAGGAAGAGGAGAAGCGGGGAGAGCTGCTGTCAGGAAGGGCAGGGATGAGCAGAAAATAGAGCTTAAAATTCAATGCTGCTGAATTTACACCAGGTGGTGGAAATCAGCATCACTGTGGTGGAAATCAGCATCACTGTGGTGGAAATCAGTATCACCATGGTGTAAATTAGTATTACCACGGTGTAAATCAGTATAACCTCCAGGAAACAGGGCTCAGAATCCGACTCCACTGTGTGCTGCCGAGCCACACAGTTCCCACTGGCACCAGTGGCTTTGCTGGGAGGGTCTGATCCTGCCTCTTTGTCCAGGAGAACGGGGAGATTGAGGAGAAGTGGGTCCCCCCGCGGTGCCAGGCTGTCCCCAGGGCTCCAGCCCCACGCCGGGGCGATGGCAGGGCTCAGGACGGGGCAGTAATATCCCACTTTCTTTCTGCCCACAGAAGGGACAAACTCTTTCACTGAGGCTG